TACACGAAGCTTCCTCTTATCGTACCAAAATCATGCAAGAAGCTAAAAGGCTCAACTAAAAACGAAATTGAGGAGATGAAGGCACGTTTTCGAGCATTTTCACTTTGGACAATAGGAGTAGTCTTTCCACCGGCCTTGGTCAATGACATCAGACATAAATATGCAAGTACACAAATTCTAAGGAGACTAAAATAAAGGTCATAACACATAAATGTTTATTAAACTTGATAAGAATCACTACACATTAAAAATATCATGTACATTGGAAAAAGAGATCTTCAAAATCTAGGAAACTTCTTCCCAAGTAATGTTACGAGAATGAGTACTTCCTCATGAGATCTCTTCTCTGGCTGAAAGTATAACTATATACCTTGTAGATTTAAAGTATATGTACACTGAATTAATTCTTGAGAAACATAGTTTTATTACTTTTCCTGTACATGTACTCTTATGTGTTGCATAAGGTAATTCCTCCTTGAGAAGGATTTATTACAAATTTCACAAGAATATGGCTTCTCCCTTGTATGTACTCTTGTGTGTTGCACTAGGTGACTATTCCTCGAGAAGGTTTTATTGCAAACCTCACATTTATATGGCTTTTCTTTTGTATGTACTCTTGTGTGTTGCACTAAGTGACTATTCTGTGAGAAGGCTTTATTGCAAACCTCACATTTATATGGCTTTTCTTTTGTATGTACTGTCATGTGCCTTACTAGACTCTGTTTCATTGAAAAAGCCTTGTTACAATTATCACAAATGTATGGCTTTTCCTTTGTATGAACTCTTACATGTACTGATAGATTTCTTTTAGATGGGAAGGTCTTATTGCAAATCTCACAGTTGTATGGCTTCTCCTTTGTATGTATTTGTTTGTGTTTTGCCAGATCAATTTTGGATGGGAAGTGCTTACTGCAAATCAAACAGCTGAATGGCTTCTCCTTTGTATGTATTTTTGTGTGTGTTAGTAGATTACTCTTAAATGTGAAGGCCATATTACAAATCCCACAGCTGTATGGTTTCTCCTTTGAATGTACTTTCATGTGTGTTAGTAGATTACTTCTAAATGTGAATGCCCTACTGCAAATATTACATCTGTATGGCTTCTCATTTGAATGTACTCCCATGTGTATTACTAGATTCTTTTTGGATGGAAAGGCCTTATTGCAAGTCTCACACCTGTATGGCTTCTCCTTGGTATGTATTCGTGTGTGCTTACCCAGATCACTCTTGGATGGAAAGGCTTTACTGCAACTCTCACAGATATATGGCTTCTCTTTTGTGTGTACTCTCGTGTGTATTACTAAAATACTTTTGGATGAGAAAGCCTTATCACAAAACTCACAGCTGTATGGTTTCTCCTTTGTGTGTATTCTTATGTGTGTTAGTAGATTACTTTTGAATGTGAAAGTCTTATTGCAAATATCACAGTTGTATGGTTTCTCCCTTGTATGTACTCTCATGTGTATTATCAGATAACTTTTGGATGAGAAAGCCTTATTACAAACCTCACAACTGTATGCCTTCTCCTTTGTATGTACTCGCATGTGTATTTCTAGATTTCTTTTGGACGAGAAGACCTTATCACAAATCTCACAGCTATATGGCTTCTCATTTGTGTGGACTCTCATGTGAATCTTGAAATAACTCTTACAATGGAATTTCATGCCACAAAATTCACATACAGTGTGTTTCAATTCGGTTTCCACTTTTCCATGTGTAACCTCAAGACTTTCCTTATACGTTATTCCATCCTCTTCTGATGAGTTCATGTCCTCACAATCCTCTGGCACAAAGGCCGCTCTTACCAAGACGTCATTGCAATCTTGGATCAAGTCAAATGAGTCTTTTTCAACCACTTCATGTCTCAGGTCTTGAAGATCCTTAAAGAATATAAATTTATGCTTCACTTTCACTTCCCTCACTTCATCTCTCACTTCATCTGCACAATCAAGCGGCTCTTCCTTAATTTCCAGCCACGTCTCTTCAGTGACATCACTCAGCTCTTCTTTGATACTTACTCCTGCACCTAAGGTGTCCTTGTCCATGAGGTGGGGAAAAGGCATCCAGTCACCCATGACACTCATTGTCACCCTGTAAATGGAAAAAATAAATAAAACAACAGACAACATCACAGTAATGCTAATGACAAAACTATACAAGTTACCATATATAATTCGAAATTATAGGGAAAATGAGAAAAAAGAATGAGAAAGAGCAACTGCAAGAGAGACAGGAAGAAGTATATAAGAGAGAGCAAGTGAGAGAGAGAGAGAGGAGGAATGAGACAATGGAAGAGAAGTAAGGAAAAAAGAAGCCTCTCAGTAGATTGTAGGCCAGAATGATTTTTTGCACATGGCCCATAAGTAAACTGTCGCTTTGATCAACAAAGTTCAAGGTCTAATGTTGTTTGCAAATGATTTTCGGTCAAGCTACATAGAGCTCTTCAAGTAAGTGAATCGCAAGCGTTTGCCAGTAGATATTAATGTATGTATTTTTGGGGAAATTGTGCACACCCACACAACACAACACAACACCACACACACACTACCACACAGAACACGACACATACACACACACACACAACACACCAACACCACACACACACACACAACACCAAACAATCATGCACATATATATTATATATAATGATATATATAAATTATATGATACTAAGGTATAGTATATAGATATATTATATAATATATATATATAAGTATATATATGCAGGAATATGTACTATCTATATATTCTATATCTATCTAATCTATCTAATCTATCATCTATATATATGTATATGTATTAGTATACATATATATATATAATATATATATATATAATATATAGTATTATATATATATATATAGTGTGTATATATATATTATATATATATATATATATACATAGTCATATATATATAGTATAGTATATTATATATGATAATATATATATATATAGTATATATAATATATACATATAAATATATTATATATATATATAATATATATAATAGTTACATATATATATAAATATATATATATAAAATAATATATATATAATTAATATACTATAATATATAATATATATATATATATATATATATATAATCATATATTATATAATATATAGTTATATAGTATTAGAGAGAGAGAGAGAGAGAGAGAAGAAGAGAGAGAGAGAGAGAGAGAGAGAGAAGAGAGAGAAGAGGGAGAGAAGACGAGGGAGAGAGAGGAGAGGAGAGAGAGGAGAGAGTGAGAGAGAGAGAGAGAGAGAGAGAGAGAGAGAAGGAGAGAGAGAGAGAGAAGAGAGAGAGGAGAGAGAGAGAGAGAGACGAGGAGAGAGGAGAGAGTAGGGAGAGAGAAGAAGAGAGAAAGAGGAAAAGAGAAAGAAGAGAAAGAGAGAAAGAGAGAAAGAGAGAGAGAGATGAGGTTAGATATAACACATACATATACATACAGAATAATAATATATATATATAATTATATTTATATATATATATATATATATATATATATTATTATATATATAAATATAACTTAATATAATATATAATATATTATATATATATATATATATATATAAGTATACACACCAACCACACACAGCACACACACACAAGCACACACACACACACACACACACACACACCCACACACACACACACACAACACAGCCACACACACACAACACCCACAACACAATATAAAGGATAAAGGATATAAATAATATATAACATTTAAACTGGTACTACTGCATCACCGAGGCAATGCAAAAAGAATGAAAGAAAAAGCAAACCTGTACAAACTCACAAGCAGGTGCACTGTACTCCCAACATAAGGCAGGCAGTCTGTGGCAAAATGACTGACCACCTAGTTTACAGGTGACAGGTGAGGGTATACTTAATAGTCTATACTAGAAAATAATATTAAATGACCCCGAATCATCAAAACCAAGTCATGTATCACATGCATTTTACGTAAACACTTTACAAAAGTAAATTGCATGACCCCGAATCATCAAAACCAAGTCATGCATCACATGCATGAGATTATAATTTACAAAGGCCATCTATATATTCCTACCCATAGAGATGCAAGAATTTACTTCCCAATAGTGGCAAAGGTCTTTTCTTCCTCTAGAAGTTTATGGTTTGCATATGAAATTAGCATTTTTGTACCATCGTTTATATACGATCCTGTAATAAAATGGCATCTAAGCCATTATCTGAAGCATCCGTTTGTAAATAAAATGTCTTTCAGTAGTCTGGCAGACATAGCAGGTTTTGACATCAGCTTCAATTTCAGTTTTTCAAAGCTTTCAATTTGATTTTCATTCCATTTATGCCTATTACAAGAAAATTTTCTTAACATTTCATTCATTGGAGCAGCAATATCTGCAAACTTATGAATAAATCTTCTATAAAATCAAACAGTCCCAGAGGTGATCCAAGCTGCCTTTTCATTTGAGGTAAAGTCATTGAAGAAATTGCTTTTACTCTTTCCAAAGATTCAATTTTGTTATCCTTTGGTGAAAACCAAGAAAGTTTTATTATAGAGAAGCCAAAGAGGCTTTTGTTAATGCCATCTGTTTAGCCCATGCTCACATAATAATACTCTTAATCCTTTAAATGTTCATCCAAGCAGCATTGTGAATTACCACATTATCAAAACAACATTCCATATATTCAGACAATCAAGAACCTTATGCATAAAATTTCATTCCATTTATGCCTATTACAAGAAAATTTTCTTAACATTTCATTCATTGGAGCAGCAAACCTTATAAATGTAGCACATGCTGTTTTTAGACCAAAAGGCATTCTAATATATATTCAAATATGGCAATATCAGTAAGTCCCCTGAAATCTTAACAGATTCTAAGTAATCCATCTGTTTTTTTCACAAGCACAACAGATGAGCAATATGGATAATTAAGAGTGTTCAATGATTCCCATTTCACATATTTTATCAATTTCCTTGTTAAAAGTTTCAACAAGATGATAAGAAATTGGATAAGGTTTCCTAGCAATAGGAGTTGTTTTATTTTTCTAAATAAATTGCATGTTCTATACTTGAGATATAGCCCGATTCATCTGAAAAAATATTTCCTGAAATCATCATCTGCCTTTTAATCAGATCTGAACACCAGTTAGGGTAACTTAGAGTTTTATCTGAAAAAAATATCCATGAAATCCATCATCTGCCTTTTAATCAGATCTTGAGTTTTTGCATTATAGACATTAGTTTCAAAGTATCTAACTTCCTTTCATTCAAATCACATCATTCTTCAAAACATTTCTTATAAGATCTATTACTGAAATCTGCATTAGATGCAGTTTATCTCAGTTACTCATTTCAACATGATCTTAAATCAGTTATATATTCATAAATATTCTTCTCATCAAAACTCAAATATTCATTTGACCACAGTTCACAGAAAATGAAGCTCAAATGGAGAAAATTTCGAAGAATTGTTAGGAATTTCTCTATAAGCAAATAAAATAACAGGAATGAATCTATCCTAATCTTTAGTTCTGTCAAAACATAATTTCTTTAACACTGATTTAAGCACAACCTAAAGTTTTTCTACTGCACCATTAAAGCTTGGATAGTATAGGGTTGTATTAAGAGCTTGAACTGAAAGTAGTCCATTTGCTTCTGCCATCATATCATGTCTAAATTGAGTTTCTCTACCCAAAAGTAGTTCTTTAGGACATTCTATTCTAGAAAATATTTCTACTAAAGACTCTGTGTGATAACTGAATCAATTTTCCTTAAGGAAATAGCTTCCAGGAACCTGCTTGCATAATCAATCAGTGTAAGAATACATCAGTGGCCTCTGTCAGAATAAGGTGAAATAGGTCTAACAATATCAAAAGAAAGGTTCAGCAATAACAGGAATGAATTTCATAGGCACTCGACTAATGCTGCCTTAAGCAGAAACTTTTTGACAAATATGACATGACTTGCAATAACATTTTATGTTAGCTCCTACACCAGGCCAAAAGAATTTCTGAAATCTTTAAAACTAGTCTTCCTATGAGAGAAATGACTGCCAGTTAAAGAATCAGGTTGAGTACCTTATCTCTGTACATCTCAGGAACCATAAGCTGTTTAGTAACAATTTCATGAAGGTTTTTGTTGTCAATACAGATTAAGAATCAATCCATTATAAATTTTATACTTTATAGAACAGGATTTTATATTTTCCTTTTTACCACTTTCTTTCTTCATTATCAGCTTTAAATGGAAGGTCCCACAAATCCTCGTATAACTGCAAATTTTATTGGTGCAGCGATAGCATTTATCAATGCAGTAAAGAACTTACTCTTTATGAAAAAAATTATTTTGAGACAATAATTTGGCCTACCTAAATATTCATATACCATTACCCTTTTACCTAATTCATATCTAGAATCAACCAGTCTTTAACTATTATAGTTGAGCACCTAGTGTCAAGCATAACTTCAATGTTTAATGTTTAATGTATGAAAATAAATATGCTAGACATCAAAGGTCATATAGCACTATGGTAAAGTATTGTGTTGGAAAGGGCAAAGTAGAGTTAAAGATTACAATAAAATGTGTTAGATGTCAAAGGTTTGAGAGCATTATAGGATAGTATGGTAGTGAAAAGGGAAAATGGGGATCAAGTGAACTGGAGCAGAAATTAGTAGAAAGGGGAGGGTTAAGGAGGTAGGGCGACTGAATGAATTATAGTGTATCTGACATTGGGGAAGGTATCGGAACAATGTTCAAGGAAGAATAGAGATAGCTGTTGAAAAAGTTGGGGAAGAATCTGGGGAGAGGGGAAGGTGTTAGATGTCAAAGATTAGAGGGTGTTATAGGAAAGTATGGTAATGAAAAGGGAAAGGAGGGAAGTAAATGAAGTAGAAAAGGGATTAGTAAAATGGGAAAGGTTAAGGAAGTAGAGCGATTAAAGGTTAAGGAAGTCGAGCAATAAAGTGAATTGCATTGAATCTGTGGCTGGAGAAGGAATAAGGATAATAGGTGATCACAGTAGATATGGTTGGCTTAGTAGTAGGGGATTAGGCATCTGAGAGTTGAGATAAAGGATCAGGAAGGAGTGGTGTCCAGAGGTTCGATAGGGAGGGTGGGGTCTGATAAAAAAAAGTTCACTTGTGTATCCAGGAGGGAGTGGGAGGGATAGTGGGGAAGGATGGGTTTTTGGATGGTTTGGGTGGTTGATAGGATGAGGTATGTGGAAAAGATTTTTTTCTTTTCTTTTCTTTTCTTTTTCTGAAGGGGGGGGGGGGTGTTGAGAGGATGAGGTATTTTGGGATGGGGCTGGGGGAATATAAGGGGGTAGAGCAACTGAGTGAATTGCAGTGTATCTGTGACTGGGGAAGGAATAGGGACATTGTTCAAGGAAAACAGAGGTGGCTGTTGGAGAAGTAGGAGGAGAAGAATGCAGGGGATGAGAAAGGGGGACTGGGGAAGGTGGTGAAGTATCAGGAGGAATGTCTGGTGAGGAGGAGTCTGG